CTCTAAGATCACTTTGCCGTATATCAACTCTTTAAATCTCTATTCACTGTATTTCTATGTTAGTTTTAGTCTTTTTTCTTTGATGCGTTTTTTGCTCCTAAAGCTTCTTGTTTAGAATGAGAAGTGAATGAATAAAGTTATCTGAGTTACCTCAGAATGAAGCTCTTAGAGCAAATAAAGGAATCTGTTTTATAGAAATGAAGGTTGCTGCATCTTTGTGGCAGACTGAAGAAAATCAAGCTTTTCCTCTAAATCCTTTATTTATAAACTACAAACTATTTAATTCAGCAGAAGATTTTTCCCTTAGGTCTGAACTTCAAAGAGAAGGGATCTCCCTCCCTCCCCCCTTCATTACTTCCATTATGCATTCCTCTCTCTCCTCTCTTATTGTTCCTTCACTTTTCCAAACTGCTGAACTCCACACCTTTCTTACCCTTACAGCCTTTACGAGCCTTTCCAGTCTGGTTTTCGCCCCTCTCGTTGCACTGAAACTGCCCTAATAAAAACCATAAACGATCTCCTTATAGCTGCTGACTCCGGACTCCTCTCCATCCTCATCCTCCTGGATCTCAGTGCAGCCTTTGATACCATTTCTCATCCCATTCTCCTCAATAGATTATCCTCTCTTGGCATCTCTGACCACCTCCTGACTGGTTCTGCTCATATCTCTCCGACCGCACTCAGTTTATTCACCTCAAATCCTTCACTTCGCACCCTTCCCCTATCACTTCTGGTGTTCCTCAAGGCTCAGTTCTTGGCCCCCTCCTCTTCACCACCTACCTTCTTCCCCTTGGCTATTTTTCAGAAATTCAACATTCATTTTTGCGGATGACACCCAGCTTTATTTATCCAGTAAACACTTCCTCAACCCCCCCCCCCCCCCCCCGCCCCCCCGTCCCTTACAGACTGGTTCACCTCAAACTTCCTTAAACTAAATTTTCTGATTAAAATTCAACTGAATGGTGAATAAAAAGTCGGCTGATGTCTCCTCAGGCAGACCTGCTGGTTTTCAGAAGCCACTCTGGGCTTCATTTGTTGTTGCTCAGTTTTGTTCAGCTTTTGTCCAATTTGGAGCTTCATTAAAAATCATAAATCACACCAAGCATGCTTGTTGCGACAGTGGAGAGGAAAAACTCCCTTTGAACAGGAAGAAACCTCCAGCAGAACCAGGCTCAGTGTGAGCGGCCATCTGCTGAGGCCCACTGGGGTTCAAGGAGACAGAAGCAGACATAGAAAAAGTTAGTTAGAGTTCATTGGTTAAAGCACCAAGAACGGACTGGGCAGGAAATGGCCCACCAACCCCCAAATGGCAGTTGTGTGACCTTTTGGCTGTAGAATAGTGGTCATGTGGGCTCTGACTGGGATCAGCCTGATCAGGCTTTCATTGTCTGTTTTCTGAGGTGCAGTAAAATGTTTTATCTCAAGTTTCTGCTTCAGGAAGAACTTCTGACCCTCGATTAATCAGATGGAGGTTCAGGCATGCACTGCAGGTCAGATCAGGTAGCACTGGAGCCCCTCCCCCTTCATGCACCCGGCCTGTTTTTTTTTTTTTTCCAGGTGACTCCAATCTGCATTAATGTGTGTGCAGGGTGAGATTAGAGTGTGTGCAGGGTGAGATTAGAGTGTGTGCAGGGTGAGATTAGAGTGTGTGCAGGGTGAGATTAGTGTGTGTGCAGGGTGAGATTAGTGTGTGCAGGGTGAGATTAGTGTGTGTGCAGGGTGAGATTAGAGTGTGTGCAGGGTGAGATTAGAGTGTGTGCAGGGTGAGATTAGTGTGTGAGCAGGGTGAGATTAGAGTGTGTGCAGGGTGAGATTAGTGTGTGTGCAGGGTGAGATTAGAGTGTGTGCAGGGTGAGATTAGAGTGTGTGCAGGGTGAGATTAGTGTGTGTGCAGGGTGAGATTAGTGTGTGTGCAGGGTGAGATTAGTGTGTGTGCAGGGTGAGATTAGTGTGTGTGCAGGGTGAGATTAGTGTGTTTGCAGGGTGAGATTAGTGTGTGTGCAGGGTGAGATTAGAGTGTGTGCAGGGTGAGATTAGAGTGTGTGCAGGGTGAGATTAGAGTGTGTGCAGGGTGAGATTAGAGTGTGTGCAGGGTGAGATTAGAGTGTGTGCAGGGTGAGATTAGTGTGTGTGCAGGGTGAGATTAGTGTGTTTGCAGGGTGAGATTAGTGTGTGTGCAGGGTGAGATTAGAGTGTGTGCAGGGTGAGATTAGAGTGTGTGCAGGGTGAGATTAGAGTGTGTGCAGGGTGAGATTAGTGTGTGTGCAGGGTGAGATTAGAGTGTGCAGGGTGAGATTAGTGTGTGTGCAGGGTGAGATTAGAGTGTGTGCAGGGTGAGATTAGTGTGTTTGCAGGGTGAGATTAGTGTGTGTGCAGGGTGAGATTAGAGTGTGTGCAGGGTGAGATTAGAGTGTGTGCAGGGTGAGATTAGAGTGTGTGCAGGGTGAGATTAGTGTGTGTGCAGGGTGAGATTAGAGTGTGCAGAGTGAGATTAGTGTGTGTGCAGGGTGAGATTAGAGTGTGTGCAGGGTGAGATTAGTGTGTTTGCAGGGTGAGATTAGTGTGTGTGCAGGGTGAGATTAGAGTGTGTGCAGGGTGAGAGAGGAGTGTGTGCAGGGTGAGATTAGAGTGTGTGCAGGGTGAGATTAGAGTGTGTGCAGGGTGAGAGAGGAGTGTGTGCAGGGTGAGATTAGAGTGGGTGCAGGGTGAGATTAGAGTGTGTGCAGGGTGAGATTAGAGTGTGTGCAGGGTGAGATTAGAGTGTGTGCAGGGTGAGATTAGAGTGTGTGCAGGGTGAGATTAGAGTGTGTGCAGGGTGAGAGAGGAGTGTGTGCAGGGTGAGAGAGGAGTGTGTGCAGGGTGAGATTAGAGTGTGTGCAGGGTGAGATTAGAGTGTGTGCAGGGTGAGAGAGGAGTGTGTGCAGGGTGAGATTAGAGTGTGTGCAGGGTGAGATTAGAGTGTGTGCAGGGTGAGAGAGGAGTGTGTGCAGGGTGAGATTAGAGTGGGTGCAGGGTGAGATTAGAGTGTGTGCAGGGTGAGAGAGGAGTGTGTGCAGGGTGAGATTAGAGTGGGTGCAGGGTGAGATTAGAGTGTGTGCAGGGTGAGAGAGGAGTGTGTGCAGGGTGAGATTAGTGTGTGTGCAGGGTGAGATTAGAGTGTGTGCAGGGGGAGAGAGGAGTGTGTGCAGGGTGAGAGAGGAGTGTGTGCAGGGTGAGATTAGAGTGTGTGCAGGGTGAGAGAGGAGTGTGTGCAGGGTGAGATTAGTGTGTGTGCAGGGTGAGAGAGGAGTGTGTGCAGGGTGAGAGGGTGAGTCTCTGGTGATTTTCCCCGCCCTCTTCAGACACTGCTTCCTTGATGGCTGGGGGCGTTGCCCTGGCGATGCACTGGGCAGTTTTCACCCCCCTTTGAAAGGCTTTCAGGTTGTTATGGTTTCCACGCGGTTTATGTTTTACATTTTTTATTTTATGAAATCAATCCGTCGTGGGTTATGCATCTTAGGAAGCTTGGAGCCCAGACGGTTTGTTTAAAGCATGTTGGGCCGTAGAACATAGAACGTAGAATGTAGAATGTGCTGAAGGAACATTTAAACGTGGGGTTTGTTGGGCTGAATCTATCTGTGTTTCCCTCCCAGTTTCTGTCTTGGACTGAGTGCATTAAATAAACTCTTGTTTCCTATTGGCTCGTCTCCATGGCTGTCTAATTAAAGCCGCTCCCCAGACGCCTCTAAGCACGGCGGGATGGTTTTCATAGTGGTGCTGATGTCACTCTACTCGGCTCGCTCTGTCCTTCCTTTGTGGATCAAAGAGGCAGAGACCTTTTTTAGGTCTGGAGCCGTTTAGTTAGGCAGCCATAGATGATGACATCACAGACCCGCCCTGTCTTTATAACCAACAAACAGCTGGTTTCACTTTATAACACAAAAAAACAAAGTAAGTAAATAAATCCTTTAAATTTTGAACCAGAGATAAAAAGCAGAAGATGGATCAGGACTCAGCAGATCAAGATTCTGGTGAATTAATATTCACACCCCTTGATTTTGTTCCACTTTATCACATCTCAGTGTTTTTAACTGATGTGTAATTATGGAGGTCAGACGGCTCAGTGAGGGTGGATGGACTGAACCAGAACCAGACTGCTCCTCCTGAAGCCTCTCCAGCGCTCTGCTTTAGGCGGAGAAGTCGTTGGAACCTCCGCCCCCCCCTCCTATGGAGGAGAACCCCCGCCCCAGGCTGCCAGTCCCCGCCTTCAGCGCCATGTTGAAGAGGCAGGTCTGCATCCAGAGCTGCCGGGCACTCAGACCCAGAGCGCGCCCTCTGCTCTTCCACCATGGAAGGCGTGGCAGGGATGGAGGAGATGTCCTCCTTCAGGGTCAGCATCTCCCCACTGCCATGGAACCTGTGAGCAAAGCGCTGCTTCCGGTTTAGGAAGAGCCGGATGGTTTTCCAGAATCAGCAGTTCTGACCCTGATCCAACGTGTCGGTCTCAGCTGGGTGTGTGATGCTCTGTGATGTCATGGCTGCTCTCTGGTTCTGGGAGCATCAGCCAGCTCTGATTGGCTGGTTCAGTCTGCAGCCTCATTGGACAGACTGTCCACCAATGGTAGCCTTCCTCACGGAGCAACTGCCCAAAGCGATAAAAGTTTGATTTCAGGAAGACGTCAAAAGAGGACATTTATTTTCTGTTTTTCTCTTACTGCACTGATTGGATGATAAATTTATTCTTTTGTTCAAATTATAAATATTGAACTGATGCTTCTGGTTCTATTTTCTTTATCTAAATGTCTGATATGTTTAAAATGTTGCTCTGGAACCTGCAGAGTTATGCTGCTTAGATGAACCCTGAATCAAAGGGAAACATTTTTACATGGAGTGGCTTCTGACGGTGCTGACCAATACTCTCTATCCAGTTTATGTCTATGTTAGCTTAGCTTAGCTTAGCCAGTGTCATTCTAGTGTGACAGTAACAGCCAACCCTGTCCCTGTCTCTGTGTCTCCTGCAGTCTTTCAGCAGCAGGCCACCCACTCCGGTCTGCAGCAGCAGAAGGTGAAGCAGGAAGGAGGCGGACCCGTTCCTTGCCAGAACTGTGGGAAACCCTGCAAGGGAGAAGCTCTGCGCGTCCAGAACAAACACTTCCACCTGAAGTGTTTCGTCTGCAAACGTACGTACCTGCAGGGCTCCACGCAAACACATCCTGTGATGCATGACAGGTGGAAGGAGCAGCAATCTCTGCTGGTTATTGGTATCATGTAGGGTTCAGGTGGAAGGAGCAGCAATCTCTGCTGGTTATTGGTATCATGTAGGGTTCAGGTGGAAGGAGCAGCAATCTCTCCTGGTTATTGGTATCATGTAGGGTTCAGGTGGAAGGAGCAGCAATCTCTGCTGGTTTTGGTGTCATGTAGGGTTCAGGTGGAAGGAGCAGCAATCTCTGCTGGTTATTGGTATCATGTAGGGTTCAGGTAGAAGGAGCAGCAATCTCTGCTGGTTATGGTATCATGTAGGGTTCAGGTGGAAGGAGCAGCAATCTCTGCTGGTTATTGGTATCATGTAGGGTTCAGGTAGAAGGAGCAGCAATCTCTGCTGGTTATTGGTATCATGTAGGGTTCAGGTAGAAGGAGCAGCAATCTCTGCTGGTTATGGTATCATGTAGGGTTCAGGTGGAAGGAGCAGCAATCTCTGCAGGTTTTGGTATCATGTAGGGTTCAGGTGGAAGGAGCAGCAATCTCTGCTGGTTATTGGTATCATATAGGGTTCAGGTAGAAGGAGCAGCAATCTCTGCTGGTTATGGTATCATGTAGGGTTCAGGTGGAAGGAGCAGCAATCTCTGCTGGTTTTGGTATCATGTAGGGTTCAGGTGGAAGGAGCAGCAATCTCTGCTGGTTATGGTATCATGTAGGGTTCAGGTAGAAGGAGCAGCAATCTCTGCAGGTTATGGTATCATGTAGGGTTCAGGTGGAAGGAGCAGCAATCTCTGCAGGTTATGGTATCATGTAGGGTTCAGGTAGAAGGAGCAGCAATCTCTGCTGGTTATGGTATCATATAGGGTTCAGGTGGAAGGAGCAGCAATCTCTGCTGGTTTTGGTATCATGTAGGGTTCAGGTGGAAGGAGCAGCAATCTCTGCTGGTTATGGTATCATGTAGGGTTCAGGTAGAAGGAGCAGCAATCTCTGCAGGTTATGGTATCATGTAGGGTTCAGGTAGAAGGAGCAGCAATCTCTGCTGGTTATGGTATCATGTAGGGTTCAGGTAGAAGGAGCAGCAATCTCTGCTGGTTATGGTATCATGTAGGGTTCAGGTAGAAGGAGCAGCAATCTCTGCTGGTTATGGTATCATGTAGGGTTCAGGTAGAAGGAGCAGCAATCTCTGCTGGTTATGGTATCATGTAGGGTTCAGGTAGAAGGAGCAGCAATCTCTGCTGGTTATGGTATCATGCAGGGTTCAGGTGGAAGTAGCAGCAATCTCTGCTGGTTTTGGTATCATGTAGGATTCAGGTAGAAGGAGCAGCAATCTCTGCTGGTTTTGGTATCATGTAGGGTTCAGGTGGAAGGAGCAGCAATCTCTGCAGGTTATGGTATCATGTAGGGTTCAGGTAGAAGGAGCAGCAATCTCTGCAGGTTATGGTATCATGTAGGGTTCAGGTAGAAGGAGCAGCAATCTCTGCTGGTTATGGTATCATGTAGGGTTCAGGTGGAAGGAGCAGCAATCTCTGCTGGTTTTGGTATCATGTAGGGTTCAGGTAGAAGGAGCAGCAATCTCTGCTGGTTTTGGTATCATGTAGGGTTCAGGTGGAAGGAGCAGCAATCTCTGCTGGTTATGGTATCATGTAGGGTTCAGGTAGAAGGAGCAGCAATCTCTGCTGGTTTTGGTATCATGTAGGGTTCAGGTGGAAGGAGCAGCAATCTCTGCAGGTTATGGTATCATGTAGGGTTCAGGTGGAAGGAGCAGCAATCTCTGCTGGTTATGGTATCATGCAGGGTTCAGGTGGAAGGAGCAGCAATCTCTGCAGGTTATGGTTTCATGTAGGGTTCAGTTATAGAGATGTTGATTGTGGTGGTGGGCGTGGCCTCACTGCCTCAGACCGCTCTTGTTTTCAACACAAGGCCGGGTTGCTAAGCAACAGCCGGGGTCTTCTGAGTGACGGCAGCTTCCTGGAATTTATCACCTCCAGGCTGCCGCCCAGCAGACTCTCCTGGCCTTCAGCCACAGAATGAGGCGGCAGGGTTACCCATGATGCATTGCTCCATTCAATGTTATCTGCGTTTAGGCGACAGTTTGAAGATTTGGTTTTAAAATGAAGGTCCAGATGTTTTAATCTGAGCTGATCCAGAATCAATCCCAGACCTGCTCAGGGGAATTGCTCTTTGTATCCTTCATCCTAAGGCTGCTCGTCATCATCAGCTGCTCCACCCTCAGTGGGTCTTTTCTCTTCATGGCTTAGAAAACATTTCTGATTATCTCTATAGATGTCCTGGAGTTTTCTCACATTTAATCCTAATCTCATATAATCTGGAGTGATTATAGTTTTAAAGCTGATTCTCCACATGTGTGAATTTAAGTCTTGTTAAACGATTAACTGCTAAAGATTTTCAGCAGAGCTGAGCTCAGTTTGTCACTAAGGCAACTATTGCTGTTTATGGGCAGATGATTTAATAAACATTTTAAACAATTTAATTAAATATTATAAGCTGCCTGTTTGAGTCGAAAAAACTAAAGTGGTGATATAAAAAAAACGTGAAAATATGCTGGCAGGCGTTGGAGTCAGTGGGAGCCACAAAATACGATGATAATGCCACTCAGTAAGGATTTTATGGGATTCTTTATAAATAAGATTAATCTTAATAAAAATAAGATCATTATCACACCTCTATCCGCGATTGGTTTGTCTCTGGAGGGGGGGGGCAGCATCTGAGGTAGTCATGGAATCTGAACCGGTTTAGACTGCTTTGATCCAGTTGAACTTTCAGAGTTAGCATAATTATTGTCTTCATCTAAAGCTCCAACTTGGATGTTAGATCCAGTTCCAACCAGGTTATTTAAGGAGGTATTCCCTTTGATCAGGTTATTTAAGGAGGTATTCCCTTTGATCTCCTCCTCCATTCTAGATGTGATTAATCTATCTCTGTTACAGGGATATGTACCTAAAGCTTTTAAGGTTGCTGTAATTAAACCTCTGCTTAAGAAACCGTCTCTTGACCCAGATGACTTGGTCAATTATAGACCTATATCCAATCTTCCTTTCTGATCTAAAATTATTGAGAAAGTAGTTGCCAAACAAGTGTTCAATCACTTCCACCTTAATAACTTTTTGAAGAGTCAATGAGTCGATGCAATCAGCTGGTTTTCCTTAGATAGAAAACTTGAATCAATCTGACTGGATGATCTGGTTGATCTGGATCTATAAAGTGACCTGATGTGAATTGGAGCTATAGAAATACACTGCATAGAATTGAAAAGATGCCACCATAATCCCAGAGGAGGCCAGGATTCAGCCAAAATGCCAGAGCTGCTATGAAAAACATCCCATGGCAGCTGCCGCTGCTTTAGTGGAACCAAACGGGATGTCAGGATAGATTTTGAGTAAATAAGTAAAACAAAAAGTACTTTCATTTGATGATGTCATTTTTTAAATGAATGAAAAACAGTTGGACCCAAAGTGCTGTGGGACGTTGGAGGCGTTTTTTCCTGTGCAGCTGAGATTGTTGGATGAAACATTTTATAAGCCTTAGGTCATAAATCTGAACAACTCAACTGAAATAAATGATATCTCAGAACTAGAATGAGTCATTTTGAAGCGATGTCGTCATCCTGATGCACAGAGGGGAGCTTTTCTCCTTGCTTTCCTCATTACCAAACATGGGACCTTCTAATGGAGAAGTCAGGAGAAGCCTGTGAGGTGGTTGCTGTTCCGCTCATTGATCTGTTCGCTTCATCTCTGCTCAGAAAAAGAAGAAAATGAAGAATAGAACCTGTGAGGAAGAACGTTTGCTTTCCTCCATCCTTCCTGCTGGATCCCCTCAGAAACACTTAGAATAGATTGGTTGGAAAAAACAAATTTGGAACAAATTTTGGTCACATTAAGCAATAATTACCCAATATGTTGGTTTTTAGGATGTAGAAGAACCGTTTCCGTCTGTATGTGTGGCTCAGTTAAATGAATGATGCTTGTTATATAAAATATCAGCTGATTTAAGCTGAATTCTGGTGTTTAACTGAAGGACTAGCAGCAGCATCTACTAGTGAAGTTCTATTGAACGTTTTCACCTCTTGGATGCAGTTTGTTTTTTCCAAAGTCTAAAACTTTCCTTTGCAGCATTGGGTGTAGAGCATTGAAGCGGCCATGATGTTTTTATTCTTAGAGCCAGAGGAGGATTTGAGCTCCTGCCCAGAAAGGAAAGCTGTTAGACTGGGATCATCCTGATGGTAACTGGTTTTCCTAAAGCTTTGCGTTTCCTAAATATAGGATGACGTCTCCTGGAAAGCGTCATCCAGGAGACACAATAAAATGTGATTTTATTCCACATGTTCCTGCTCCTCCGTATGATTAAAGGAGGTGGAGGTCAAGTTTCAGTGCCAGCTGCCTGCATCCTGTTAGGTCTGCGTTAGGCCGTACGCTGTGAGGGACGGGGCGCTATCAGCAGCACGCAGCCGCTGGCGAGCAGCTGGGAAACACCCAGCTCTCAGGAGGGGGACGGACGCTGAGAAATGGAAAACATCTGTCCACGCCCAGCGCAGCGCCGACTGCCTGTCTGCGTCCTTCTCCTCAGACGCCAGTAAAGAGCGCACTAACATGGGTGCGGCGTCTTGTTATGTCACCCTTCCTGTTTCTCTGTTGAACTGTGACTTATTTCCAAAGTGGGCGGAGCCTCATGTGTTGCATCAAGCTGTGAATAAAGCGTGTTGGATGCGCAGCAGCTAAACAGGAAGGAAACCAGTCCTGTCTGAGCTCATTTAATCCTCCTGCATCATTAATCATCTTCCTGTTGCTATGGTGACCTCAAAATAAAAATAAAAACCTAAATACCCAGCAGCCAGTGAAGGTAGCCAGGCCTAGGCCCCGCCCACTCCAACGTCCATCCATCATTCAATTCAATTCAATTCAGATAATTTTTTTATAATATAATTATTATTTAAAAACATCTGGGATTATTTGGCCTTAAACTGACCTTTGATCTGTTCTTTGATCTGTTCTTTGATCTGTTTGTTTTCCAAATGTCAGCCGTTCTGCTCACCGTTCCCCCCCCCCCCGGGCCTTCCTGCAGTCTGTGGCTGTGACTTGGCCCAGGGGGGCTTCTTTGTGCGGCAGGGCGAGTACATCTGTACTCGGGACTACCAGGACCTGTACGGGACTCGCTGCTTCAGCTGCCAGGACTTCATTGAGGGGGAGGTGGTGTCAGCGTTAGGAAAGACCTACCATCCTCGCTGCTTCGTCTGCGCCTCATGCAGGTGAGATGATCTGATTGAACTGATTCTACAAAGTTCCTGGAGATGCTGTAGGGTTGAACTGAGGATGGCGGGGGGAGGGTTGATTTTCAGTGGTGTCCAAGTTTACCAGTAATTTATGGATGTATTAAATGACTAGAAGTGGAAGTTACATCAATCCATTTATCATCTTCGGGTTGCGGGGGGTAGCAGCTTCAGCAGGGTTAGGTTACACTAGGCCAGCTGCGAGACGTTAGTCTCTCCAGCGTGTCCTGGGTCTCCCCCTGGGTCTCCCCCTGGGCCTCCTCCCGGTGGGACGTGCCTGGAACACCTCAACTGGCTCCTCTCGATGTGGAGGAGCAGCGGCTCTACTCTGAGTCCCCCCCGGGTGACTGAGCTCCTCCCCCTCTCTAAGGGAGAGCCCAGCCACCCTACAGAGAAAACTCATTTCAGCCCCTTGGATCTGGGATCTCGTTCTTGTTTTCCATTTTGGTGCATGAGCGCAAACAATAGTCGTTTGTTAGAGCTGGGGTTGGGGATGAGGGTTGAATGGTTGTGGTGGGGGCTGGTACTCCCTCATTCCTCAGTTCTTCCAGATCATGACTGGGGGGTGATGCTGAGAGTGGCCTATAATTCAATATGTAGGGCATCAGGGTGGGCATATTCACACCTCTGTTCTATTGGCTCCACCTGGTGATGGGGCTGGACCCTAGGGGTTGGTCATGGCTCGGCCCCCTGGCCTTTGGCTTCGATGTCTTGTCCGTCTGCAGGGATGGGGGAGGCCAGTTCTGGAGATTGGGTGGAGGATCATGGATGGATGGATGGACCTTTTGACCTTCTGTGTGACCTTTTGTGTGACCTTCTGTGTGACCTTCTGACCTTCTGTGTGACCTTCTGACCTTCTGTCTGACCTTCTGACCTTGTGTGTAACCTTCTGACCTTCTGTCTGACCTTCTGACCTTGTGTGTAACCTTCTGACCTTCTGTCTGACCTTCTGACCTTCTGTGTGACCTTCTGACCTTGTGTGTGACCTTCTGACCTTCTGTGTGACCTTCTGACCTCGTGTGTGACCTTCTGACCTTCTGTCTGACCTTCTGACCTTCTGTGTGACCTTCTGACCTCGTGTGTGACCTTCTGACCTTGTGTGTGACCTTCTGACCTCGTGTGTGACCTTCTGTGTGACCTTCTGACCTCGTGTGTGACCTTCTGACCTTGTTTGTGACCTTCTGACCTCGTGTGTGACCTTCTGACCTTGTGTGTGACCTTCTGACCTCGTGTGTTCAGACAGCCGTTCCCAGCTGGTGACAGGGTGACCTTCTGTGTGACCTTCTGTGTGACCTTCTGTGTGACCTTCTGTGTGACCTTCTGACCTTCTGTCTGACCTTCTGACCTTCTGTGTGACCTTCTGACCTCGTCTGTGACCTTCTGTCTGACCTCCTGACCTTGTGTGTGACCTTCTGACCTTGTGTGTAACCTTCTGACCTTGTGTGTAACCTTCTGACCTTCTGTGTAACCTTCTGACCTTGTGTGTAACCTTCTGACCTTCTGTGTGACCTTCTGACCTCGTGTGTGACCTTCTGTCTGACCTTCTGACCTTGTGTGTAACCTTCTGACCTTGTGTGTGACCTCCTGACCTTGTGTGTGACCTTCTGACCTTGTGTGTAACCTTCTGACCTTGTGTGTAACCTTCTGACCTCGTGTGTAACCTTCTGACCTCGTGTGTAACCTTCTGACCTTCTGTGTGACCTTCTGACCTTGTGTGTAACCTTCTGACCTCGTGTGTAACCTTCTGACCTTGTGTGTGACCTTCTGACCTTCTGTCTGACCTTCTGACCTTGTGTGTAACCTTCTGACCTTGTGTGTAACCTTCTGACCTTGTGTGTGACCTCCTGACCTTGTGTGTGACCTTCTGACCTTGTGTGTAACCTTCTGACCTCGTGTGTTCAGACAGCCGTTCCCAGCTGGTGACAGGGTGACCTTCTGTGTGACCTTCTGTGTGACCTTCTGACCTTCTGTCTGACCTTCTGACCTTCTGTGTGACCTTCTGACCTCGTGTGTGACCTTCTGTCTGACCTCCTGACCTTGTGTGTGACCTTCTGACCTTGTGTGTAACCTTCTGACCTTGTGTGTAACCTTCTGACCTTCTGTGTAACCTTCTGACCTTGTGTGTAACCTTCTGACCTTCTGTGTGACCTTCTGACCTCGTGTGTGACCTTCTGTCTGACCTTCTGACCTTGTGTGTGACCTTCTGACCTTCTGTCTGACCTTCTGACCTTGTGTGTAACCTTCTGACCTTGTGTGTGACCTCCTGACCTTGTGTGTGACCTTCTGACCTTGTGTGTAACCTTCTGACCTTGGGTGTGACCTTCTGACCTTCTGTCTGACCTTCTGACCTTGTGTGTAACCTTCTGACCTTGTGTGTAACCTTCTGACCTTGTGTGTAACCTTCTGACCTTGTGTGTGACCTCCTGACCTTGTGTGTGACCTCCTGACCTTGTGTGTAACCTTCTGACCTTGTGTGTAACCTTCTGACCTCGTGTGTTCAGACAGCCGTTCCCAGCTGGTGACAGGGTGACCTTCAATGGGAAGGAGTGTATCTGCCAGAAGTGCAGCCAGCCGCTGCCTGCTAACAGTCCGGCCCCCATCCAGGCGGTCCACAGTCAGTCAGCTCCTGATCCCTCACCTGTTTTCATTCCATACCTTCCTGTTGATGATGTCAGAGGTTAACCTTCTCTTCTTCTCCTGGTTGGATGCTCTGCAGACTGCTGCGGCTGCGGGAAGGAGTTCAGGAATGAACAGTCTCTGGTTGCTCTGGACAAGCACTGGCATCTGGGCTGCTTCAAGTGCAAAGTCTGCAACAAGGTGCTGAATGCTGAGTACATCAGCAAGTAAGTAGCTGTGAACGTTTGGAGATGATCTCTGGTGGCTCTAGTTCAGCCTAAAGCTCTGACCTCATCCTCCATCACATGATCACTGGAGCATACTCCAACTGGCTGTTCTCCTGTGTTCTCCACACAGGGATGGGATCCCCTACTGCGAGATGGATTACCACGCCATGTTTGGAATCCAGTGTGAGAGCTGTAAGAAGTATATCACTGGGAAAGTACTGGAGGTACGTGGCTTTACTGGGAGCAAGTGGTTCTGCTGGCATGGAGTACGTCTCCCACTTCCTGTTTCCTTCACCCAGCACATATTTAAAGTTAGTTTGGGTTTGAATGGTTTGACTTTTATGAAGCAGAGGAAACTCTCAGGTTGTTTTTCATGTTGTTCACTTCAGTGAACCAGTTTATAAACCAGTTTGGCACCAGAACATGAAGATCATTTTAGCCTGTATTCACTGTCCTCCCACAGTGCACTCTATGATGTTCTACATTAATGGTATTTCATATTTAATCATATTTATGCTGTGTTTGGACGACAGCTCAAATGATGGTCAAACTATAAACTCTAAACACATCTGAATAAATTCACCACAACTTCCACTCAGGAGTTATTATTGAAAATGATTAAACTCAAAGTCAAACATGATTCAGTAAAAAAATAGAAAAAATCAACTAATAAGCTACTCTGTACTAATGAACTGGTTAACCATTGAGAAACCTGGGGGTTTACCAGCAGCTAACTTTTTATTAGCCAGGTACTAATGAAAGTGCTGGGTACTAACGAACCGGCCAGGTGGTAACGAAAGGGCCAGATATTAACGAAATGGACCGTTACCAACGAACCAGCTGGGTACTGACAAACCAGCCCGGTAGTAAAGAAAGGGCCAGGTACTAACGAACTGGGTACTAATGAACTGGGTACTAATGAACCAGCCAGGTACTTAGGGACCGGCTGGGTACTAACGGACCAGACAGTTACTAACGAACCAGCTGGGTACTAATGGACCGGTACTATCAAACCGGACAGGTACTAACGAACCAGCTGGGTACTAACGGACCCGGTACTAACAAACCGGCTCGGTACTAATGGACAAGCTGGGTACTAATGAACCGACTGGGTACCAACGAACCAGCTAATGAACCGACAGGGTACTAATGAACTGACCAGGTACTAACGAACCAGCTGGGTAATAATAAACCGACAGGGTACTAACGAACCGACTGGGTACCAACGAACCGACCGGGTACCAAGGAACCAGCTGGGTACTAACGAACCGGCTAATGAACCGACAGGGTACTAACGAACCAGCTGGGTACCAACGAACCGACCGGGTAGCAACGAACCAGCTGGGTACTAACGAACCGGCTAATGAACCGACAGGGTACTAACGAACCAGCTGGGTACTAACGAACCAGCTGGGTACTAACGAACCAGCTGGGTACTAACGAACCGGCTAATGAACCGACAGGGTACTAACGAACCAGCTGGGTACTAACGAACCGACCAGGTACCAACGAACCGACCGGGTACTAACGAACCAGCTGGGTACTAACGAACCAGCTGGGTACCAACGAACCGACCGGGTACTAACGAACCGACTGGGTACTAACGAACCAGCTGGGTACTAACGAACCAGCTGGGTACTAACGAACCAGCTGGGTACTAATGAACCAACCAGGTACCAACGAACCGACTGGGTACTAACGAACCAGCTGGGTACCAACGAACCGACCGGGTACTAACGAACCAGCTGGGTACTAAAGAACCGACCGGGTACTAACGAACCAGCTGGGTACTAACGAACCAGCTGGGTACTAACGAACCAGCTGGGTACTAAAGAACCGACCGGATACTAACGAACCAGCTGGGTACTAACGAACCAGCTGGGTACTAACAAACTAGCTGGGTACTAACGAACCAGCTGGGTACTAAAGAACCGACCGGATACTAACGAACCATCTGGGTACTAACGAACCAGCTGGGTACTAACAAACTAGCTGGGTACTAACGAACCAGCTGGGTACTAAAGAACCGACCGGATACTAACGAACCAGCTGGGTACTAACGAACCAGCTGGGTACTAACGAACCAGCTGGGTACTAACGAACCAGCTGGGTACTAACAAACTAGCTGGGTACTAACGAACCAGCTGGGTACTAAAGAACCGACCGGATACTAACGAACCAGCTGGGTACTAACGAACCAGCTGGGTACTAACAAACTAGCTGGGTACTAACGAACCAGCTGGGTACTAACGAACCAGCTGGGTACTAACGAACCAGCTGGGTACTAACGAACCAGCTGGGTACTAACGAACCAGCTGGGTACTAACGAACCAGCTGGGTACTAACGAACCGGTTAGTTGCAGGGAAACCCTCAGGTTTCTCCTCGGCTAACCAGTTTGTTGTAGTGATTGAGGGATTTAATGGTTTAGGGCAAACATTCATAGTGAGCTTGTATGATCTTTGAGAACAGCAACTTGTAAACAGAGTGTGCACGAGGACGAATGGGCTCGTGCACGCTCTCACACGCATTATTAAAAGTAGAGTGGGGGGGGTATAACATTATAACAACCAGAATGTTTGATGAGCATGAAGCTGATTCTTTTGCAATTTTTTGTTAAATTATGAAATGACTACTTTCTTTTTAAATGGCGCCATCTAATGGTCGCTGTCCACACATGTAGTGCTGAAAAGCCCAAATGAGCTGCTTCCTTTTGCTTTTTTTATTCAAGTTATTTATTAAAAATGACAATAGCTGGTAGGAAACTAAAGCTCTGTCAGGTTTTCAATCAGTTCTTTTTTCTTTTTCTGAAAACTTCTGCTAGAAAATGAACCATGGTGGTTTTGTTTTTATTAATGAATAAAAGAAAACAAGTAAAGATTCTTGATTAATGATGTAACTTTGTTTAGTGCTTCCTGGTTTGTGGAAAGTTGAGGTGAAAATCATTTCTGAGGGACTTTGATTGCTTGTCCAGTCAGAATGCTCCAGATGTCAGAAGATCCTCCAAGCTGAGTGAAGGTCCTTCCTCTTCTCTTCCTCCATCATAGCCGCCATCGCTGCCCTCTGCCCAGTAGATCCACTCTGCTCACCAGTAGATCCACTCTGCCCAGTAGATCCACTCTGCTCACCAGTAGATCCACTCTGCTCACCAGTAGATCCACTCTGCCCAGTAGATCCACTCTGCCCTCCAGACTCTTGTCATTGGTGCCTTGTGAAATTATTTATCTATTATTTATTGCTCTTTATCAGTGGATCCTAAATGTTCATGTGGTCCCATCTGATCTGTCCTACTGGTTTAAATGGTTCTGATGGTGTCACAGTCGTGTTCTTGTATCTCGGACCTCGTGTCTGAGGAGAACAGAGTGCTTTCTGTCAGCTTCTACTCATCCTGATGGCTCAGCCCAGCAGGACTTGGTGGTGGTTCCATGTTTAAAGTCCTTCCATGGTCAACATCCTCCGTCCATCATTCAGACCAGATAGAAGCTCCTCCCACGGCCCCTGGTCCGCTGCTCCAGCCTTGTTTTCAACCTGGACCTCATTATCTCTCTGCTTGTTATTGTGTGTGCATTGGCAACTGGGCGTTCTGGAGTTTTCCCAGTTCCAGACCAGTGAGTTCATTCCAACAGCTTCTATCCCTCAGAGAGCAGGAGCTTTTCCAGGAGGGACAGAACTTTGCTGGGCTAACCCTGCAGCCTCTTCCTCTCTGGAACCGCTGCAGGTTTTCCTGCAGATCAGGGTTAGGGTCATTTTATTCCCATAATCCTGAGAAAATGTTTAACAGATGAGTCATGATGAACGGAAGGTCACATAGATGAGCTTCCACTGCGCCAGTAAGACTAGAGCTCCACCTAGTGGCTGATTGGTCTTCCATCACATCTCCTCCTGACCAGCCAAAGGTCTCCCCCCGAAGGAGGTGTTGGAGGTTCTGTCATTATTACCAGGTTCAGTTCAATGGAACACCCAGAGTCTCTGCAGGTCTGCTTAGATGAACATGTTTTCACGTCCCTGGAGGATTTTCCACGCCATGGTTCCCCCCTGTGGACGAAAGCTGTAATATTTTGCTTGAAGGGGGACAGAGCTGCAGTTGGATTGAACCACATTGGCTGTGGAAGATGAAGATTGATCGATGAGCTCATCAGTCTAACAGTCATGAAAAAATGTCCCATGATGATGATGTGGAAAATAAGAAGCAGTTTTCCTTTATATGAAGGTTGAAGAGTTCCTAGGCGTAGGTTGAAGGTCCCACCAGTAGCTCCCACTCTGACAGGGTTCCATGCTCTGGTCCACAGGCTGGAGAGAAGCACTACCATCCTTCCTGCGCGCGCTGCGCCCGCTGCGAGCAGATGTTTGGAGAAGGAGAAGAAATGTATCTGCAGGGTGAGTCTGAGCAGCTTCACTGTTTCTTTGCTTTAAACCCCCGCCCCCCCAAACCTCCCCCCCAGGAGCGCTAAACACGGTCAAAGATTCAACGAAGGACGTCTCAAATTCAGCGATGATCCCATCAGAACCGACTCTGAGAGTCCAGGAGTAACTCTGCCTCTGTTTGTGTACACAGGATCGTCGATCTGGCATCCGCCGTGCAGACAGGCAGCCAAGCAGGAGGAGAAGACCAAGGTGGGTATAGACCTCCTCACCTAGATGCTGGAGCTCTGGGCTGATATATTCTCCCAACATCACAGGTTTTAGTTGAGCAACATTTTCTGTTTTGAAAAGTCGATAAATGATATGAGAAAAATGTTAGATATTCACAAACTAGAGCTGCAGACATGACGATGATGCACACCATTACAGACAGAAACCAACCGTCTAGATCTGCCCGCTAATGTTTGATGGAGACTGCTATCTGCTTTTCCAGCTCCGATGTTCACTTCAAAAATGAAAAACAGAACAAGCATTTCAGCGGCGGCTAGCTCAGGCGGTTAGTCACCCGTCCTCCAAACAGGAAGTCTGGGTTCGGATCTCACCTGCCTGGGGGGGTCCTTAGGCAAGACCCTTCACGCTGATGCTGCTTTGGTGAGTGGCAGCCTAGTGGTTATCCAGAGTTCAAGCCTCACGCCCACAGACCTCCACTCTGGGTCCCTGAGCCAGACCCTTAACCCCACCCTGCTCCCCGGGCGCCGCACAATGGCCGCCCACTGCTTCACAAGGGGAGGGGTTAAATGCAGAGAGGGAATGTTGCTCTGTTCTTGTGACAGTAGAATGAAAATAAAAGCTGGAAAGAACAAGAAAAGGAAACATTCTAATCAGATAGATGTAGTGTTATGCTGCGTTCACACCAAAGGCGTTCTGGGCATCAGAAACATGCAGCTGCTTTGATGCTTCAATACACTCTATGTTCGTCTCATCACGTTCGGCGCTCTCGATGGATGCTCGGCTCTGAATGCTCGGCTCTGAATGTTCGGCTCTGAATGTTCGGCTCTGAATGTTCAGCTCTGAATGCTCGGCTCTGGATGCTCGGCTCTGAATGCTCGGCTCTGAATGTTCGGCTCTGAATGTTCGGCTCTGAATGTTCAGCTCTGAATGCTCGGCTCTGAATGTTCGGCTCTGGATGCTCCGCTCTGGATGCTCAGCTCTGGATGCTCGGCTCTGGAGGCTCGGCTCTGGATGCTCCGCTCTGGATGCTCAGCTCTGGATGCTCGGCTCTGGATGCTCGGCTCTGAATGTTCGGCTCTGGATGCTCGGCTCTGAATGTTCGGCTCTGGATGCTCGGCTCTGAATGTTCGGCTCTGGATGCTCGGCTCTGAATGTTCGGCTCTGGATGTTCGGCTCTGGATGCTCCGCTCTGAATGTTCGGCTCTGGATGCTCCGCTCTGAATGTTCGGCTCTGAATGCTCAGCTCTGAATGTTCGGCTCTGAATGCTCGGCTCTGAATGCTCGGCTCTGAATGCTCGGCTCTGAATGTTCGGCTCTGGATGCTCGGCTCTGAATGTTCGGCTCTGGATGCTCAGCTCTGAATGTTCGGCTCTGAATGCTTGGCTTTGAATGCTCAGCTCTGAATGTTCGGCTCTGGATGCTCAGCTCTGAATGTTCGGCTCTGAATGCTTGGCTTTGAATGCTCAGCTCTGAATGTTCGACTCTGGATGCTAGGCTTTGGATGTCTTTATTGCTCACCTCTAAATGCTTGGCTCTGGATGCTCAGCTCTGGATGCTTGGCTCTGGATGCCCTGAATGCTCAACTCCGAATGCTCGGCTCTGGATGCTCGGCTCTGGATGCTCGGCTCTGGATGCTCGGCTCTGGATGCTCGGCTCTGAATGCTCAGCTCTGGATGCTCTGCTCTGAATGCTCGGCTCTGGATGCTCAGCTCTGAATGCTCAGCTCTGGATGCTCTGCTCTGAATGCTCGGCTCTGAATGCTCAGCTCTGGATGCTCAGCTCTGGATGCTCGGTTCTGGATGCTGTGCTCTGGATGATCAGCTCTGAATGCTCAGCTCTGGATGTTCAGCTCTGAATGCTCGGCTCTGGATGCTCAGCTCTGGATGCTCGGTTCTGGATGCTGTGCTCTGGATGCTCAGCTCTGAATGCTCAGCTCTGGATGCTCTGCTCTGAATGCTCGGCTCTGAATGCTCAGCTCTGGATGCTCTACTCTGAATGCTCAGCTCTGGATGCTTGGTTCTGGATGCTGTGCTCTGGATGATCCGCTCTGAATGCTCAGCTCTGGATGTTCGGCTCTGAATGCTCGGCTCTGGATGCTCAGCTCTGGATGCTCGGTTCTGGATGCTGTGCTCTGGATGCTCAGCTCTGAATGCTCAGCTCTGGATGCTCTGCTCTGAATGCTCGGCTCTGAATGCTCAGCTCTGGATGCTCTACTCTGAATGCTCAGCTCTGGATGCTTGGTTCTGGATGCTGTGCTCTGGATGATCCGCTCTGAATGCTCAGCTCTGGATGTTCGGCTCTGAATGCTCGGCTTTGGATGCTCAGCTCTGAATGCTCAGCTCTGGATGCTCGGTTCTGGATGCTGTGCTCTGGATGCTCAGCTCTGAATGCTCAGCTCTGGACGTTCGCTTCTCAATGCTCGGCTCTGGATGCTTGACTTTCTGTTTGAATGATGCTCCAGCAGCTAAAGTTCAATTTTCTGAACTCCATTGTTGAACACTGGGACAGGCAGCTGGACCCCTCCATGCCGCTGCCCAATAGACTTTGCACTTAGCTTTGACGCCCAGAATGCACCCTGTGTGAATGCAGCTTTAGGCCTGATATGAATCTGCAGGTAGAAAACTGTGTTTTGGGACATCAACAGATAAATCACTGAACCTAATGTGTTTGCTGCTCCTGATAAGGATAAACCTCACAGTCTATTTTATTTTAACAGTTTCACTGATAATTTCCAGTGGTGCTTCACTTTTACAGTCTGTGTGTGTATTTGCTGCTGTCACAGGGGGTGGAGCTTAGTAACGCCATGATAAAAACCTGACAGAAAACATTACCACCTTGTTCTAGGTAATTACTAACCTGCTAAACTGACCTTAATAAAACATGGCTGCTCAGTGGAGGTCAGGCTGAAAAGATTCCTCTGCATCCTCTAAAGCTAACAGTTGAGTCTGATTGCCCCCCCCCCAAGCAGAACGCCTCAGTAAAATGATGCAGTAAATGAGTTTGTTTAAGGGCAGCTAACCGTCCTGAAGCTGATGTGATGTGTGCAGCAGGGCCTTCTGAGGCCAGATAGTCAGGTATATAGATAAAGGTATAAAGATCAGAGTAAATGGTTAAAGTCCAACTCACTATGGTGGCATGTAGAGATGGAACCGCTTCCTTACCGTGGAGCTCAGGGGTGTTTTTCTGGTGGACGTCACAATGAAAGCAGAGTCACCATCACTGAGGCAGATGGCGGAAAGGCTTCCATAAGGTTTGGCTTTGGTCGGTGTTTTCTTGTTGCTTAGTGAGAGCAGTCTTTCCTGAGGAACATCCTGATGATGTTGCATCAGTAGCTCAACATCATCAGCAAACATGTGACCTTAGCTTCCCTCAGCACCCTGTCATCCATCTCTTTTTCTGTTTTCCTCATCATGACCCGTGGTTCTCAGAAGCAGGTCCGGATACAGCTCATTGATCAGCAGGTCTGTCCCTACCCCCCCACTGTCCTTTGCTGCATGGGTTGATTTTTTGGTTCTAACGGTTTGACAATGCTGGGTTTGTTGCTCTGCCATGCACTGTGCATGAACACAGGACCAGTGCTAAGCTTTTAGGATGACAGCTGATGAAGCTGCCATCTATAGAGAACAGAACTGACACAACCTGCAGTGGGTGAGTGTTCTCTGGACGGTTCTCGGTTATTCTCAGTTCTGGGTTCACCATCGTAAACATCAGCTGTTGCAGAACTTTGACTCTCCATCTTCCAGCTTGTGAGCCTCAAAGACTGTGACACACTTTTCCTATAAATTAAAAATGGAAGGAATGCGGATTAATTTGCAAACTGGGTATATTTTAGAGCCCATTGTGATTAAAGACATGATAAAAGATGCCTGTGTCCCAGAATGGGCGTCTAAGGGTTGGAGCAGAAGTGATGCTCAGAGGAAAGTCTGGACTCATTCATGAGCAGCTCAGGTAGACGGCAGGTTGAGCAAACACAACATTTATCTGATGAAACGGTGAGAATATTGCTGCTTGGCTGCAGGAACACCGAGACAGCAGACAGCTCTAGAATCTAAGCTAACAGGTTAGCCTACGGCTACTATGCTACGGCTACTACGGCTACTATGGCTACTATAGCTACTATGGCTACTACGGCTACTATGGCTACCAGGACCAGAAAATTGATTATCTGGTTCTGGTTACAATAATTATTGAAAAAGGATCATGTTGATTTCATCCCTAGAAACCGACAGAGACCAGATCATAGAGATACTGATTCATGATGTTACAGAGTAGAAACAGAGCAGGTAGAGATGTCTAGGTAGAAACAGAGCAGGTAGAGATGTTTGGGTAGAAACAGAACAGGTAGAGATGTCTGGGTAGAAACAGAACAGGTAGAGATGTCTGGGTAGAAACAGAGCAGGTAGAGATGTCTGGGTAGAAACCGAACAGGTAGAGATGTCTGGGTAGAAACAGAACAGGTAGAGATGTCTGGGTAGAAACAGAGCAGGTAGAGATGTCAGTGTAGAAACGAAACAGGTAGAGATGTCTGGGTAGAAACAGAACAGGTAGAGATGTCTGGGTAGAAACAGAACAGGTAGAGATGTCTGGGTAGAAACAGAGCAGGTAGAGATGTCAGTGTAGAAACAGAACAGGTAGAGATGTCTGGGTAGAAACAGCAGGTAGAGATGTCAGTGTAGAAACAGAACAGGTAGAAATGTCTGGGTAGAAACGGAACATGTAGAGATGTCTGGGTAGAAACAGAGCAGGTAGAGATGTCAGTGTAGAAACAGAACAGGTAGAGATGTCTGGGTAGAAACAGAACAGGTAGAGATGTCTGGGTAGAAACAGAGCAGGTAGAGATGTCTGGGTAGAAACAGAACAGGTAGAGATGTCGGTGTAGAAACAGAACAGGTAGAGATGTCTGGGTAGAAACAGAACAGGTAGAGATGTCTGGGTAGAAACAGAACAGGTAGAGATGTCTGAGTAGAAACAGAACAGGTAGAGATGTCTGGGTAGAAACAGAACAGGTAGAGATGTCTGGGTAGAAACAGAGCAGGTAGAGATGTCTGGGTAGAAACAGAACAGGTAGAGATGTCGGTGTAGAAACAGAACAGGTAGAGATGTCTGGGTAGAAACAGAACAGGTAGAGATGTCTGGGTAGAAACAGAACAGGTAGAGATGTCTGGGTAGAAACAGAGCAGGTAGAGATGTCAGTGTAGAAACAGAACAGGTAGAGATGTCTGGGTAGAAACAGCAGGTAGAGATGTCAGTGTAGAAACAGAACAGGTAGAAATGTCTGGGTAGAAACGGAACATGTAGAGATGTCTGGGTAGAAACAGAGCAGGTAGAGATGTCAGTGTAGAAACAGAACAGGTAGAGATGTCTGGGTAGAAACAGAACAGGTAGAGATGTCTGGGTAGAAACAGAGCAGGTAGAGATGTCTGGGTAGAAACAGAACAGGTAGAGATGTCGGTGTAGAAACAGAACAGGTAGAGATGTCTGAGTAGAAATGGAACAGGTAGAACCATATTTTAAATTGGTAAAACAGATTCAGATCAAGTCACCGACTACTTTTCCTCAGAAGCAGAAGCTTCTGCTGTAACATAACCACTCTAAACCTGAGCGGGTTTGTCTATTCCAGAACCGGTTCCTCTAAACCTGAACGGTTTCCTCTAATCCAGAACCTGTTCCTCTAAACCTGAACAGGTTCCTCTAAACCTGAACGGGTTGGTCTAATCCAGAACCGGTTCCTCTAAACCTGAACGGATTCCTCTAATTCAGAACGGGTTCGTCTAATCCAGAACCGGTTCCTCTAATCCAGAACCTGTTCCTCTAAACCTGAACAGGTTCCTCTAAACCTGAACGGGTTCCTCTAATCCAGAACCGGTTCCTCTAAACCTGAACGGATTCCTCTAATCCAGAACGGGTTCCTCTAATCCAGAACCTGTTCCTGTAAACCTGAATGGATTTCTCTAATCCAGAACGGGTTCCTCTAATCCAGAACCTGTTCCTCTAAACCTGAACAGATTCCTCTAATCCAGAACGGGTTCCTCTAATCCAGACGGGTTCCTCTAATCCAGACGGGTTCCTCTAATCCAGAATGGGTTCCTCTAATCCAGACGGGTCCCTCTAATCCAGACAGGTTCCTCTAATCCAGAATGGGTTCCTCTAATCCAGAACGGGTTCCTCTAATCCAGAACCTGTTCCTCTAAACCTGAACAGATTCCTTTAATCCAGAACGGGTTCCTCTAATCAAGACGGGTTCCTCTAATCCAGACGGGTTCCTCTAATCCAGAATGGGTTCCTCTAATCCAGACGGGTTCCTCTAATCCAGACTAACCGTTTGGGCTCCAGCCGTGTGCTTTTGGATGTGGAAGCCTAAAGGGGGGATGGTTTAGTAGCCGTTGGAGTTCTGAAGGGAACCGTTGGACCTGTGCTCGGTTTAACACTTGGTGGTCTGTGTTTCAGGTAACTCGGACCTCCTCTGAGAGCATCACTTCAGTTCCTGCATCCAGTGCTTCTGGCTCGCCCAGCAGAGTCATCTATGTATGCCTCCTCTG